CAGGCGGTTTGCACCGTTTGCGTCCTCAGGCGGTTTGCACCGTTTGCGTCCCCAGAGGGTTTGCACCTTTTGCGTACACAGGGGTTTGCACCGTTTGCGTCCCCATTTCCCTTCTACTGCTGTCCTTGGGATATTACTACTGGCAATTGATATGGCTAAATACTTATTTAAAAGACCTTTCAAATTATGTATTACAACTCACACATTTCCATTTAAATTTTTTATTGATGACGTCATCACGTTCACATAGATGTCGTCAAAAATAAAAAAATATCCTGAAGAAGCGCCAGTTTAAAAATAAAAATCAACGGGTTTTAGGATTTTTCCTGAAAATCACTGGTCAACGAAATAATGAATTTATCCCGTTCATTAGCACCATACAAAGGCAAGACGTCGAAGATGAACATTTTGAACACCTAATTTAGTAGAATATTTTTGAATTATTTTGCTGTGAAATTGTCATTAAATTTTTTTGTATTATTATTTTGTTAGATTAAGCTCTTAATTATATTTATCTTTCATTCATTTAATTGTGTTCTCAAAATAAAATAAAATTTATGTGTTTAATCTTTAAATGACTTTTATTCAAAAAAATTGTTACGTAAGATATTGCAAATATTATGTTTCCAAGTAGTAAATTGCAAGATCTATCAAAAAAAATGGGGTTACTATTTAGAGGAATTGCCAATGATATCACTGCCTTAAGATGGGAAGTGGAGGAAACTTATATTATTTTTGAAAAATTGTGATTTTAGTAAAAAATTGACATTTTTTTTTTAAACCAACTACTTCCATTATAATGAATGTACTCCTTTCTTTTGAACCATACTGTATAATGAAGCAAACGACGTTGGTGGACATCATTATATAAAATTAGAGCACTTTACAGTGGTTGGTATACATCCATCTATTTTTGAAATTTTATTTTTGTGCCTATTATATTTTGAGTTCCAAAGATATTCCTGTTCTTTATAAAGATCGATTGGTAGCAGAACATGTGGATTACTCCGTAATTATAATATTTCAATTATCTGAATTATTAATAAATGGCAAATATAACTTATAATTAATAATAAAAGCCACTGGCTACTGTTTGTCTAGATACTGACAGCTGGTGGAACCGAGGGCGCCAATTCCAAGGTAACAAGTCTTATAGGCAGGGTCAAAAAGCCGCAGGCTTTAGTTTAAAGCCATGGCGAGAAATAAAAAAAACACATATCCAGGGGGGTAGATGCTCCCCCTTGCATTCGTGTGGCGGAGCCGATGGGTGGAACATTGCCGAAAGCAAACGCATGTGTTGGTCTACTAGCCCAACTAATCTGTTGGGTCGCTTTCGTTTGTCTGGTAAGAGTAGTAAGTACAGTACGACAAAATTAAGATGGCAAGTCAGAATTAGATGCGCACTAGCAAATCTAAAAATGGGATATTGGAAACCGGCAATAACAATAAACTTAATTTGTTAACCATTCAATTATTTGTTTGTTTCGATAGTCTGTGTGATTATTCATTTACAATGCTTCTGATCGTTTTTTGATTTTTAATAAACTTAATAAATTCGTATAATCGTTGTAAATTAGACTCCAGTTGTATTTTTTACTTAATAAATGCTAAATAAACAGTGATTCACACTATTTCACTCCTGTCAGGTATAATGAGCCACTATTTTTTTGCCGGGGTTATACTAGAGCAGCGTTACTCAAAGTGTCACACTAATTAAAACTTTAGTGGGTTCACATTATTATTCCCCCTTCTCTTAATTCCTAAATGATTGACACAATCTCGTTAGTATTACCTGTATTTCCTGCAGTTTGGGATGCTACAAGTAATCTAAGTCTATCAATCAATTCGTTGTAATTATCAAAATACTTGTAATCAATTGGCCTATTACTATATTTCATTACCAATCTCCCACCTCTCTTCGCCATATTTCTAGTAAGTACTCCTTTTAATAGTGATACAGGTATTGAACTAGATCTTGGTCTATTTTGAGATTTTGATATCAATCTTGGTTTAATAAAGTAAGTGAACTTATCCTTAATGTCCCTAAAAAAATTTTTAATTGGTAATTCAGGATTATAATTCCTATAAATCGCATTTATTTTTTTAATAATATCAGCATAATTATTTACATCTTCTTTGGGATTATGTGTAATGGGTTTTTTTAAAGAGTAATTCTTATAGCCCAAACGTCCCTTTGAATGTAACATCTCTCACAATAAACCTTTTCTGTTTCCATATTATGAAAAACTCCTAAAATGTGATCGAATTCGCCGCTCACATCTCTTACCATTCCCTCAATAAATTCTCTAGGCAATGGTGCTTCAAATTGATGAAAGTATTCTCTCAAAACAGCAGGATCGCTCATTGATTTATGAAATTGGTCTTCTCTATTCAAATCGTCTTTCTCACAATGAGATTCAAAAGTTTCGTCATCTGATAGAAAATCGGGTATTTGTGTACTATTGAATCGGGGTCTTATTGTTTGTTCTTCTTGAGAATTAATAGGTATACAACTCTTTATTGGGAGTAAATGTTTTTTTGAATTTTGGTGTCAAAGGCTCTTGTTTAATTTGTTCTTGGTTTCCCAAAGCAGCAACCAGTTGTTTAAGGGGGGATGTTATTGGCTGATATATTTTTTCCAAATGAGTTTGTGATTTCACTTTTTAAACTTTTGTATTTTTCCTTAAATATTGCTTAGCTTTTATTAGTTGTTTAGTCAGACGAGGATCCATTTTGACTAAATTGTTTGATTTAAAAATTTCTTTACATACTTATGAAAGTGTCGAAATTTTTTCTAAATAATCATTTTGAATCCTTATCAATAGTGAGGAAATCATATTTTTTCCAACAAATTGTGCACATGTTTATAAAATCTTTAAAAGACATATCGATATTAATATAATCATCGTAAATATGTTTCAAATTAGTCATATCTTGTTGAAAAATTACTTAAAGATTTTAATTATCTCTAATAAGCTGTTTGGGGATTGCACTATATGTCTGACAAATATAAAAACAATCTCTGTGTTTAGGTCAACCAAAACAAAAATAATTTTAAATAATCTTTTGTTCACAAGAAGCTACATCATCAAATATAATTAACGAGTTTTCTTTAATTTCTTCTGGTCTAATTATTTCTTCAGATTCACCATATTCTTCATATCCAATTTCCTTCATGGGTTAAATTAGGTTTTTTAGATGTCTATATTTGGGTTGATTAAGACTTTTAGAATACACATATACATTTTCAAATCTTAATCCATATGGGTGTTCAATTAATGAGCATACAGTTTGTCTTTCCATCTCTGCATGGCCCAACAATTAAACATCTTTTAAAGTGACTACTAAACAAAAAACCATGTTTATTAAGTTTTTCATCATTTACTACTAAATCATGATTTGTTACTGGTAAGATAATGTGCTGTTTTTCATTCTTCATTTTAATAAATCCTACAGAAGACAGAGAATATATACAGGGGAGTAAGTATGTAAATAGCACAATTGTTAAACGCTAGGACAGAGTTCACATCGAATAGGAAAAGGTTTACTGAATTCGGTAATAAATAAACTCCCAATTGAATTACATATTCCTGTTTATCAGTATTGGGGTCCTGGAACTCGACTCCTCAAAAGATTTCAGAGAAGTGATAAAGGTGTAAACCAATTAGACGCTGCTTGCAAAGATCACAATATTGCATATTCACAAAGTAAAGATCTCAATACTAGACACTAATCCGATAAGATATTACAACATAGAGCTTGCGAAAGGGCTAAATCTAAGTATACTAAATTAGGAGAAAAACAGCTGCTTGGTGTGTAACAACGGCGATGAAAGGTAAACGCAAACTTGGAATGGGCATAAAAAAACGAGCAAGAAAAACTAAAAAAAGAATTATTCGAGTACCAAAAAAAGTATAATATTTACCTCTATTACTTCCTCTATTAGCAGCTCTCGGAGCTGTAAGGGGAGGTGCAGCGGGTATTGCAAAAGCAGTAAACGATGCTAAAGCTAACCGCATACAATTGGAAAAACAGAAACGGCATAATTTAGCTATGGAAAAGAAAGAACAGGGTTTAAGTCGTAAAAAAGGGGGAAAGAGTTTATATTTAAGACCATACAAAGGATATGGTATCAAGTCAAAAAACTAATACTACCACAACGAGCGCTTACCGATTTATATTTAAAAAAATTTGCTAAAATATTGCAGATACCTCATTTTAGAAGTGTGTTTATAAGAGATTCTTTGCCTCATACAATCCATAAAAATGAAAGCGGTATTATAAATATGGATTCAAATATAGGACCGCATATACGAAACACAATAAGGATGTTGTATACTTTGATAGTTATGGAAACTTACCCCCGCCATTAGAGCTGATTAAATATTTCAATAGCAATGAGGATGTAAATATAATTTATAACTATGATAGAGTTCAAAGAAATTCTTACAAGTGCGGTCATTATTGTTTGAGTTTTCTATATATTCAATATAATTAAAAAAAGTTTTCATTCTGAGACATTTATTTGTTGTGTAAATATGTCTTATTCATTTACTTTAAGTGGTAACTCTTCAATTTAAAGTTATGATTTTAACCCTCCAATATATTTAGATAAAAATACAGATTACGAAATAGGATTAGTCAGTTTTAATAGTTTTAAAAGGCTTGATCCCGGTAAAACTTATCAAATCATCCAGTTAAAATTTTGAAAGTAAATTCTATAGGTGTTGACTGTAGTGTTGCTGCTGGTTCGTATTTAAATGGAAACCCTGTTCATATTATCCACCAATTTTTTTCTACAGTACCCAGCGGGTATAAAATAGTGAAATCTCCTTAAAATATCTTGTATTATCCTGTCAGTGTCAAGACAATTAACAACATTATAGTAAAGATTATTGACCAAAGCGGCGGTCTCATAAATTTTCGAGAAAGTGTAAAATGGTTCTATCATTTTTTCATCCACTTAAAAACTATAAAAGAACAGACAAAGTATTAATATAATGGCAGTACTTTATGTAACCGGGCAACCGTTTAATGATACAACTATAGATGATTATCAATTTTATACCTATCAACCCTTCATTACTGGAAAACTCAATTATAACGATGAAATTCGAATCCCCATTCAAGATTTAGATGCCTACACACTGCCATCAAAAAGTTATTTGTATATTGAAGAAAAGTTGCTTACTGATGCTGGAAAAGTACCAACTAAACTACAATTTATTAACAATGCCGTAGCATTTTTGTTTCGCGAACTCCGTTATGAATTAAACAGCATCGTAATAGATTATGTAAGAGATATAGGTCTTGTATCAACCATGAAAAATTATCTGAGTCTTAATGAAAACGAAAGTGTACGAATGTAAAATGCTAGGTGGTTCCCTAAGGAAATTAAAAAACGTGGCATATTCTAAAAGTGTTGCAACAGGTATGTATGACCATGTATTTCAACATTAAAATTTGATTTTTCTCGAAAACGGTCGACTTTAGAGCGTATGACCAAGAGTACCTTTATTGTGTAGAAAACATTGGCGGTTCAAATGGGCGTCTCAAAACCATACTTTTTCCAGTGGCGTAAAATTTTTTTTTTCAATTTAAACACCCTGTGTCTCGAAAATGGTATATTTTAGTTAATGGTAAAGTTTTTTAATATTTTTGGACAAGCTATCACGTCCTGAAGTCCTGCGCATATATTATGAAACACCCTATATAAGCCCTTCACACTAACGATTAAAGTCATTTACAGCATGGGAGTGACACAGTTCATAATTTTACAAGCCATCCTAGGCAATTACCTCTTAATTCAACACCCTTTTAATATCAGAGAAGTGTATGTATGTTTTGATAGTAATGGGACAAGAGATGAGTGGGCCTTTTAAGTGGGTAAAAATGGAGACCTATACACCAAATAATGCTGCAACTCTAAAATCACAGATACCGACAAATAGTACAATGTATAAAGTACGTATTGTAAAAGGAAATGGATCCACTAAAGACTATGAATGGTTATCTCTCTACAACAAAGACCCAAACAAATCTGAAAGCAGCAATACAAATGCATTATATATTACGATTTACTATATAGCTGTTTGTTCAACATTAGCTGCTGCCGAATTACTTATAAAAATTATTCAAAACTATGTTACATATTAGATTTCTTCAATGTTTTTAAATATTTTTTGTTTTATTAAAAATAAAAGATAATGGTATGTATAAAAAATTTATTGGGAGAATAATTCTAAATCAAAATTATTTAAATCGGTCACTTCTTCCATCGCCTGTATTAAATCATCCAGGGTTCCAGTCATTGCTTTTGGGGTGGTAAGTAGATTTCCCCATGCCAGAGTGTTTGCATCATGTGGTATCACATATCTCTTATCATCTTTAGCTGAGAGGGCTACCTTGTTTCTTAGTTCTGTGTAGATTGCACGTAGTGATGATACAAAAACATACATTTTCCTAAATATTGTATCACCATTTTGTATAATCCGGATGTAATCATTTACGTGAAGTTGATTTCTGATTATATTTATCGAGACACCTTTAGCCTTCGTTATTTCTGTTTCCTTCTTGAATGGCTTGCCTAGTTTTACTATAGTACCACCAAACTCGTCTTTCATTTTTCCAACGATAGAATTTGTTATAGGCATGACATATTCATTATTTTTAGAAAAATTGGAAGTGTCAAAATGAGTGATGTTTTGTATCATATCATCAAAAAAGTTACTATTTAGTAAATACTTCTAAAATTAGGGAATCGGTGTCCGTATAACACAATTTTGCAGCGTTGCCATATTTCGGTTTAATGTAGCCATATAAAAATTCGTATATTATGGTTTTTGAAATATTCAATACAGAAAATTCTATATACATGGGCTTGTCATAATATACTTTTACATTACTTAAATGTACTGCAACTAAGTTTTAATTAAATACTGACCATGTCTTGAATTCTGGTTTTGCTATTAGTGTCCTTGCACCTACGGATCCCTTTGTATTGTCCCAATGGGTAGAAAGATGAGAATATTTTCTCTTCTCAACATTTTCCATGGTCTTTCCGAAGATTGCATTGACCAGCAGCTTAAAAAGATCTTTTTCGAAGTCATTCTTTGCTTGGTTTCGGAGGATGGTATTCAATTCGATATATTTTTGAAAAGAATCGACGTATGAATAAGGAAACGCCTTTACGTCTCATTAAATTGTGTGTCGTTGGGGAAATATTTTCTAACTTTATCTAAAGAATCCAATGTTTCACTGAGTTTATCAAGAGATCTTGCCAAAAATCTAAAAGAGTCTACAAATCTCAGTTTTATAAATGAATCACAAACTTTGTAATTATCAGATTTTTCAACCAAAATAGACTTGAAAAAATATATTTCTTCTTTGTTTGAGCTATTGCGGAGACAGATTCACCTTTGGTCGTCAATTTTTTAATAAACAAGATGGCTGTAGTAGTTTGTGAGATTATGGAAAAACACCGTTATAAAATTTGGCACCTTATTATTTAAATTGCAGGAATTATGGGCGGCGTTCCTATATTTTCCCAGTAGATGGGCACGAACTTTTTTATTGAATGCATAAAAAGGTTTTTCACACATGTAACAGTTGGTCGCATTGTCAAATGATTCCTGTTCTTCACAAGTAAGCGGTTGCATGACTTTTACATGCTTTAAATGGTTGTTGTATATGTTATGTACAGTCTCATCTAGTTTTTGCACAAACACTTTGCCCGCATTTGGTCCTTTATACATCTAAAGCTTAGATAAACTCTCATCGTAACTATATTTTAGGTAAAATGCAAAAGAATATGGCTCGTGCTCACATACTTTGACACTGAATGATTTGCCATCAATAAGTTTACAATTGTCTATTGGTTTTAACAACGATTCAAAGTCTGCATAAATAACAAACGACACTTGTAATTGTTTTTCTCCTAGGTCACCGGATTTAACTCATTTTGATTTCTTTTCATAGGGATACTTGAAAAGTTAAGTGTACCAAAACAGAACACAAAATATCAATGATCTAAAAAAACGGATACGTATTAAGATTTGCAGACATGACGGAAATTTTGGAGAAAGTACAAGAAGAGATCGCTGCACGCCTTTTTCACTGTATTTTAGCTAAGGGTCAACAATTTGAGCACTGGATATAGGTTTGGTTGTATTTAATAAATAATAATAATATTTATTGTAGTAATAAAAGGCAAGACGTCGGCGGAGGACTTTTTGAACACCTAATTTAGTAGAATATTTTCTAAGATCTATAAAAATCGAGAAAAAAATTAGGGTTACTATTTAAAAAAAAAATGTCAATGGCGGCACTGTCCAAAAATGGAAAGTGGAGGGAACTTAAATTCTTTTTGAAAAATTGCGTTTTATTAAATATTGACCTGACGGGTCATTTTTTCGAAAACCAACTACGAATTTATTCTTTTCATTTAAACCATACTGTATATCAGTGTATTTGAATATGAAAATTAGTAATTCCGTGTATTCAAATATTCAAACTATATTTATACTATTGCCGCGTTTGAGAATCCACATCGGATGCATCTGAGATGTAGTAAATCTTTCATCACGTGATTCAGTATACGTAAATGTAATGGGAGAGATGTGTCGGATGTGGATTAAAAAACGCTCGAGATGTAAAAAATGCATCCGATGTGGATTCTCAAATGCGGCATATATTTACAGGACGTTATCGGGGGTTAAAAAACGATTGACACCGAAACGTTCGATCTTTGGTTTCTATACACGACGAACATAATTATTTGTCAATTTCCATTCAGAAGTGGATTTTGTTTTTAGATGCGCATATTTAAATATATGTATATTTTTTATGACGTGTTATCCTTTCTCGAAACATGACGTCAATGCCAGTTTTTTAAAGAGCTTCATCATTTTTTGATAGTACCATTTAATAGAAATACAAGCAAAAAATTCTTAACCGGTCTCCTATTTCTTCACTTTTTTCTAGAGATAACTAATAACTGGAGGCTAGACCCTAAGACCCTAAGAAATAAGACTGACCTGAAAATGAAATAAAAGTAAAGGAAAAATATTATGCAGGGAATAAAAGAGGGCGCGACTTTTGGTCTACTACTTACGCTAGCCCTCTTTTCAAAAGTCAGCATAAGTTAAAATCTAAGGATATTCCGAGAATCCGTATTTACCCATCCCTCCCCAAGATCCCCAAGTAACCCAAGAGTAACCTGTAAATAAGCCATATAAATTTAGAGTTCGAAAATAAAATTCCGTGTTCGAAGGAATTCCTTGTTCGTACACGGAATTCTTTGTGTGGACACGGAAATTTTGTTTTCGAATAAGGAATTCCGTGTTCGAATACGGAATTCTTTGTTTGAACGCGGAAATTCCGTGTTCGGATATGGAATTTTAAATTTCCGTGTTCGAACAAGGAATTCCGTTTTTGAATACGGAATTCCATGTTCGAATACGGAATTCCATGTTCGAATACGAAATTCCGTATTCGAATATGGAATTCCGTTTATAAACAAAGAATTCCGTACTCGAACAAGGAATTCCGTGTTCAAACACGGAATTTTAAAAATTAAAAAATAAATAAATAATGTGGCCGTAGAAATGTGCTGTTTGTCCCAACTTGTCGCTTGTTAAATTCATTAATGCACTTGTTTCTTTTTTTTCAAATTGGAATTCTAACTTACCTCACCCAGGTACCTTTATAATTTATTAATTAAATTTTAGTAAAGAAAAGTTGAATTCTTATTAAATCTGGTTATGATAAGGGACAAGATGATGAAAAAAACTGTCAATATAACGAGCGTAAAAAAGATTTGCATATTTTATAAAATTAAATTAGTAAGTAATGTTTTTGTATTCTTTCATATTGTTTGACTGAGAACCCTCATTGCAAAACTGTCGTTAGTACACAGTGTCTAGGTACACGCTAACTTGTACGCAATTCAAAAATTTATATACACGCGAAACGTCTTGACAGAGTAGGTGAGCTGTGTGCAAGCCGTTGGTGTTTACGCCGGTCGTAGCTAGGTATGGATTGGATTTTTTTTTGTATCGGCCAAGCCGCCACTCTACGAGAAGTCGTTGCTTCTTTTTCTTGCTTCTAAGATTTATAAAATACTACTGTGCTAGTCACGGCGTAAATGAAAACAAACAAGACGCATTCACACCAACACCTCCCACCACAGCAATATGACGTTTCGCGTGTATATACGAGTAATTTTTTGATTTGTGTACACTTTAGCGTGTACCTAGCTACAGCGTCGTCAGTATTTACTTATTATGTACTAATTCGTAAACAAAAATGAGATTTTAAGTAAACTACTTACACATTTTCATTATATATGTACTTTCTATCCAGCATATTGAATGTATAACAAATTCCTTGGTCCGCTATTATTGGATGAAACAACTTCTGACAGCTTTCTTGTGAATCCAAAAAAACGCAACTCAACATAAATTCTCTCTGAGGTATTTTAAACTAAAAAAATAATGATTTTTAATGTTACCGGATTTATACACAATTAAAAAAATAATTAATGCGCAGGGTAGTCGATACTAGGTGACAAATTTTAACACATTGCGTGCCACGTCTCTCATATATGAGAGACACAAACATTTCGCCGGGGGCTTCGTCGCTCATTATTGAGAGACACGCATCTCTCACTTTCTGGCGATGTATATCATATGTGATACCCGCTATCGTTTATTTCAAATGGAGAATCCCAAGCTTGGCCTCTGGGGAAAGTATTATTGGTCTTGGTTTGAGCAAATTTGAAAAAATAAATTTACTATGACAAGTGTCGCTCATATATGAGAGATACAGAAAAAGTAAAAAAATAGCTCAAAACTACAAAAAAAAAACAGTGAATTATTAAAAAACCTTTATTTTGAGTAAATACGTACAAATATTGCAAAAATGTAGTTTGGCCCCTGGGCACGGTTTAATGAATATATATAAAATAAATATAATATAAAAATAATATAAAAATAATATATTAATGATACTCTCCTTAATTCACCCTCTTACGAGTGAATTTTCACCCCTGGCACCGACTGAGCTTGCGTGGGGAAGGGACGAATATTATTATTTGCCGTGGCGCTCTGGGGTGACTAAATGATATTTAATGGTGCCTTTTCACTTATAGGCGAGGAAACCCCGGAAAACCGCACTCAATTTTATCGAAACGGTAACGCATAGCGATCTGTGATCTGGATATCATATTAACAGAAATTAAATTAATGGAAATACTTCACCCATCAAATCTTATAACGAACCATGCAAATTAATTAAAAATTTACGTTTGGTGTCGGATTCGAAGCCGCGTGTCTCTTAAATTTATGCTATTTAATTACACACGGATATCCCGATGTATCTAAAAACCACCAGCAAGGCAGGTCTTAATAAGATTTAAACGTTAAAAAATAAAAATTATTCCCTTTTGGATATTTACAGAGATTAGTAATATCTTGATCTTATAAACAAGTTAACTATTATTTAGTGATATCTACAAATTCCTCATTGATAAATAAATAATAATTTGACCACCGATAATATCACCTCGTCAATACCGCTAAAGAAGTCTTCCGTGAATGTAGATTCTTCCTTGAAAAACGGACTTCCCCTTCCACATAATAGAGACATGTATTTTGCGTAACGTTTCCTAAAATCAAACAAAAAATTAAACTTATGTTCAAAATGCATGTGTATTAAAAATAAAAACATTACACCAACCATAGGTCAAGAGCCAGAGCTGGGCAAAGCATTCAGAAAAAGAACTTCAAGCCCCAAACACCAAACCCTTTGGAAAAGTAATTGCCAGCACCAAGCCTTTGGAAATGCTATGTGCTTGCAGTTGCCAATTAACAAGAAAAGTAATTGCACAATTTAATTACCAAGTACCATATTTGCAAATTTTGTGAATAGATTTTTAATAACAAAATGTATTTTTGACCACTAATGGTACTCTTATTTATTGTAGTCGCTGTTGCAAATGGTTGCCATAATATAAATAGTCATACTCACTTTAGTCCAAAGTTCGAAAAATCATTCAAACATGACGAATATAGGAAATTTCATTTTTTCGAATCTATAAATTTCAATTCCAATATTTTTAGAGGAAAAATGAAA